TTTCTTTTGCAGTAATTTTATTGGTATATAAAAATGTTACAGATTTTTGGCTGTTCATTTTGTATACTGCAACAGTATTGAATGCGTGTTCCAATAGTATTTTGGTGGAGTCTTTACATTTTTCTATAGATAGTATCATATCATCTGCAATCAGGTGTAATTGAACTTCTTCCCTTCCTGTTTATATGCTTTTTATTTCTTTGTCTTGCCTAATTGCTCTGGCTAAAACTTCCACTGGAGGTTTTGAAAAGCATAAAGTGATCAATATGTATTTACTGAGCATTGGCTATATGACAATGTTAGGTATTAACATGATATGAAATCATGTGTGAAAAATCATGTGAGATATGAAAATCATAGAGTGTGAAATATGAAATCATAAAACTAACAATTTTATATTTGTGAAATACTTTTTCATTTGCTTGATCTCATTTGATCTAAATCATGTTTTCTGTTCTCAAAGCTTACAGATCTTCTTGTTATAGATCTTTACAGATCTTCTTGTTATAGATCTTTCCAAATAAATGTAAAGGGGAAGGCAATTGAGCACATCTGTATCGTTCTGATTATATTCCTGAAAGTCACTCTGAGATGGGACTTAAAGTATGGGGTTAAATGTTTGGAATCCATGGGTAGGACTTGAGTTGGCTTTGTAAGATTTCTTTATTGCCAGAGACAAAGCTTTGAAGGAAACTACAAATAACCATGGTGGATGAACTGACTTCTCTCAAAGCACTGTTGCTTTGTCTGGCGGGCCCTTACCCTGAATGTGGCAGATTTTACCACATAACACTTTAATTTTTATATGTTACATTTTGATCTTTGACTCTAAATAAACATTTTCTATGGATAACTTAACCTGATGACTTCTACTTTAAATGATTTCTAATAATGCCATATGATGGCTGGTTGGGGTGTTAGGTCAAGGTTTGGTGAGGAAATCCTATTTTTTCTCTTTTTTCTTGTTTTAAAATTATATCAGATTCTTATTGCCTCAGGGAACATGACTTGACTGAATGCAATGTTATTATGTGATGCTGGAGAGTAGTCTAAAGATAAAAATCATAAATGTTCAGTGATTTATCTTCCTAGTTCCAGTATGCTAAAATCATTATTTCTCGTATTTGCATTGACATTCCAACCAATGACATTAATCACCTTCAAAGATTTCCCTTGTTCTTGAAGTCTGCTGGGGTAGTTCAGCACCATTTCACAGAAAATGTTATATAATAAATTTATAAATTCTGCAAAAAAAAAAAAAGAACTTGAGATGGGGGCTGGAACAGAGTTGCTCTCAAGGGCAAGGACCAGCTGAAGCTCATGGGAAAACAAAAATGAATTGATTTACTTGTGTTTGACATGTATGAAAGAACCACAAAGAGAATGAGATATCAAAAGATGGATTTAGGGGAGACAGATGTGATGGTTCAGGGAAGGAAAAGAACAGCAGAGAAGGGGGGAAGCTGCATGTGAGTCAACTATTTGTCATTCTTCATCCAGATAATGAGATTAAATCTTTTTGCCTTCATTTCCAATTGGAATGGCAATTAACAAGTTATTGGCAAAGGACTTTGAAAACGCATGCAAAAATGCTTAAAACTGTTTTTTTTTGTGTGTGTGATGTTAGGAATTGAACCTAGGACCTCACATATGTTAAGCAAGAGCTATACCATTGAACTATATCCTTAGAGCCCCACTACCTTTTAAAACAGAGCCTTGCTAAGTTGCCCAGGGTGGCCTTGAACTTTCCATCCTCCTAATTCACACTCCAGAGTCACTAGGATTATAGATGGGCACCACCTCATCCCACAAAACTTTAATGAATTTAAGTCATCATAATGTCTAAGAATGGCCAGAGAAGGTCCTATGGTCTTCATGAGGGTATATGCTACTTAGAAAAAGTTATCCAGAACACTCATCTCCATTTTAATAATAAGTGTATACTTCATTATAAATGCCCCCAGGAAAATAGGAGTAAAATGACCTTAAGATTAAACATAGATATCTCAAAGTCTAAAATTTGCCAAAGATCTCTCTGGCTTGGATTGTGATTATTTTATTTAATTTGATTGATTAATTTATTTTAAACCAAAATGTAAGGTTAGTTTACATACACCTTATCCCAAATAAATATTTTCCTATATTTTCAACTTTTTAAACTTATTCTTTCACTTATTTTTCCTATTATTGGTACATGCTGGCCAGGATATTGAGAGGAAAACTTTCGCTGTTTTCTTTTCCTTCATCTGTAAATACCCCTCTTCTTAGCAGTTTGTTCATGCTGCCAAGATGTGAATGTCCATGTTTGAAGAATTTTTTTTGTTTTTAGAGAAATCCTTTTAGCAGAACTCAATCCTATTTAATGGAGAAAAGCCACATGATTAAATGAGGACTCTCCCAACCTTCTACTATCTAATCTGTAGATTCTTCTGCAAAATGTGCACTATTTCATCCATTTTATCCTTCTCCTCTCTCATAGTCCTGTCCCCTGACTAAGATGAATCCTTGCATATAGTCTCTGGGTCCCAGCCCCATCTTTCCTTTTGCCCTTTCAGAGACCATTAATAACTTTCTCTTCCCCAATCCCTTCTCTTCTGGATCCTTTCCATTGGTATTCAAACACAGTCAAATATCTCACATGTTCAATAGCAACAATAAAATAACAACAATAAAAACAGGAGTAGCAGCAAACATGCCCAAACCCAAACCCTCAGACCTATACCTTAACTCTTTTAGTTCATAGTGCTCTCCTCATTACACTGTAACCTGGCTTCTTTTTATTTTTTTCTTTTTAGTTGTAGATGGACACATACCTTTATTTTATTTATTTATTTTTATGTGGTGCTGAGGATGGAACCCAGTGCCTTATATATTCCAGGCAAGTATTCTACCAACTGAGCTATAACCCCAGGCACCTGTTATCTGGCTTCTGTCCCTATCCCTCTTTCTCTCTCATGCTTCTGGTCTTAGAGAATGGCAACAATAACCACTGAAGCCTAGCCTAGGAATTAATCTAACTTTCCCAGTTTTCTTCGCCTCCCACATACAATTAATCACCTGGTTCCGTTCATTTGGTTACTAAATCTCTCAAATCAATCTCCTAGCTTCTTTCCATCCCCATTGCCCCTCCCTAATGTGGAGGATGTATTTCTCTTTCCACATGTAGGTGATGGGGTGGCTGAAGTCCATTGCTGCGTGATGAGGTCACAAAGACTTGGGGTGCCGATGACTGCGTATGCAGAAGATCTAGTCTCTGGAGATTTCTTGGCCATTTTCACACCCTCCTTATGGGTGTTTTCTGTTTAAAATGTTGACTTCTGCGTTTTTCAGTTGGTTCCCTTCCACTTTCCTGGCATTTTCGTCTAATTTATGCAGGACACTGTTGTTGCTCTTACAAGCTCTGAGCTCACAATTGTCATTTTAGCTCTGTGGTCAGGGCCTGGCTCTGACCCTCACCGGCTATATGATCTTGGACAGATCATCAGCTCTTAATTTCCTTACTTGTAAAATAAATGGCTTCCCCTAGATCAGTGGGTCTCAACCCTGGCTGCACATTAGAATCACCTGCTGAGCTTTCAAAAACTAGAGCCCAGGCTAGAACTTAGATTAATGAGATCAACATCCTGATGCCTGGGCCTCAGGATTTTTTATTTAATTTAAAATGTTTCATTATTTTTTGGTCAGTTTTCTTTTAAGTTCCCCCAAAGCTCCCAATGTATAGATAAAGTTGGAAACCATTGACAATGCTTTTTATAGGACCTTTGCTCTACCATTATTTCATGTTTTCTTATGCCCCAATCCCAAGTCGAGGTTTCTCTTCTTTTACATGTTTTTACTAAGTTGGGAAGAAATAGCTGTGAAGCTCCCCCCACCCCCTTCCATCTGCTGTTTGTTCTTATTTACATACGATGGAACCCAGCCCACTGATTTACAGCTCTGGTTCCCTTACAACTGTTATTGAACTGAAAACATAGCTGAAAACTTATTAAACAGAAAAAAATTATTTTGAGCTTCCTGCCTACAATTCCTTATAGAACAAAGGAAACATTTAAACTGTTTTCCTTCTAGAGGTAATGTTAAAATTGATTTATAATCCCATAATCTCAAATTTAACTTATTTCTGGGGCCAGATCTCAATATTTATTCTTTCTTGGGTGCCTGTTAAGGAAGCCAGAGCATCTCTGTAGGAGAATGGGATTTTGAGGGGTATGCACCCACGGACAGGCATAGCCTCCTCATACTGCTGTGTGGCTTCTGAAATTAAGTGTCATGGTCTTTTTTCTCCCAGTCCTCTCTTGGCCTGCAGATGCTGGCAGCAAAGCTAGGGAAAACTTGTCCTCTTTGTGAATGTAGCCTCACTCTTTGAACTTCTGGGAACAGGCCTTTTAGAAGATATTCTGTAGAAGCTCCCTTTGCATCTACCATTCTAGATCTGAAATAATGGGACTTTGCTGAGCTAAAAGAGAGTAGAGAGGAGGGTAGAAAGATGATAGAGAACAGCCAAGCATTTGATTTGACCAGTGGCACTCAATTTGGGAAGATCTGGGGTCTTGGCATAAGTCTGATTCATGTTGGCAAAGCACTCTTTGGAGTAATGGCCCTTCTTGCCTGTTTCTTGGTTAACAGTACCAACTGTTCGTTCACTTTCTTCTGCAATACCTATCTGAAATACACAGTCTGTGCCTTTATTAGTCTCTCTCAGATCCCTATTAAATTATTGAAATTGGCTTAAGCAGATCACCTCCTAGTCATAACCTATTAGAAATAATAAAAACACATTATCCTTTTGCAGCTGGGCTATCCAGTTATTCTCATGGAAAGAAAAGGCTATAATTTACTGGTTTTAGAATAAATTCTGCCAGAATATGGGGTCAAGCTGGAAAAACCTCTTCCTCATCATATTGAACATTGAACTATTTCTACACAAGCTAATTTTAGTTCAGAAAACCTTGTCTGAAGTTTTTGTCTTTGAGACTTCTTCTTTGGGTATTTTCTTGTAGATGGAGGAATTGATTGAGGGTGTTCGCTGGGCCTTCATTGATATGCTGGAGAAAGAAAATGACTGGATGGATGCAGGGACGAAAAAGAAAGCCAAAGAAAAGGTAACAATTCCTTTTGATGAACAAAATATGATTTCTGGTTTAATGGATTTTCATGATGACATTGACTGTGTAGTTGATTTTTATATTGACTGAGCTGTTGGTTCTGAATGACTCCAGATTTAGGTGTGTGCTTTTGGATGAATAAATAGATTTCATCACTGAGGGTTAAGAGAAAATAATATCTGACTTTTTCTTTCTCTAACTGCATTTTCAAATACCCCAAATAATTCATCTTTCCCTTCTAATTGCTGTCTATAAGAGCCTCATGGCCTGCTACCTAGTGAATTTTGCCATAAACCACCATTGGATATGGCAGAATGCAGAGCAGTTGGGAGCCATCGGGAGCAGCTGGCAGAAGAGCCCTCAAGATGCAAAGAAGAAGAAAACCTGTATTGGCCATGTGTCCTTCTTCTCTGTGCATTATGTGTGCAAATGTCCTGAGGCAAATCCTTTCCAGTAACCAAATAGATCTACTTCTTAGCCCATCATTTAACACAAATGATCCAAAGACCATGCTTATCAATTGTGGACCAGTAGTAGACCATTGTGTAGGAGTAAAAAGTTAGCAGTAGACACTTGGTGGGCCTTGTAAATTTTTCTGATACCATAAACAAGATAAGGGAATAAATGAGGAAAGTATTAACAGTATTGCTTTTTAAAAATAAAAAAATTGAGCCTATCTTAAATTCTAGGTATTCTGATGGAACTGGAGCTCTAGTGGGTATAGCATGCCTGGTACACTGTTCATGGATGCTACTCTGCAGCTGGGAGCCTATAAAATCTGGAGCATTTTTTTCTTTCAAGAGGTGTTTTGAAACCTTTCTGATAATAGCTATCACCTGGGATGCCTAGAAATTTTATAGCTTTCTGGATCCCCTTCCCAGCCTGGTTCATGGATCTAGGGTACAGTCTGAACATTTGTGATTTAGGCCAGTGTGATTGTTATCATTAGGGAATCATACTGAGTCATCCTGGGCACTAAATTATTTTTTGTTTTGGTTCTGGAGACCCAGAGGGCTTTGTGCATGCTAGATAAGCACTGTATCATTGAGCTATATCCCCAACCCCAAGCACAAATATTTTTGCATTATGATCAAGAAACAAAGAGGGCAACATTCTGGGAATGCTTAGACTTGTTGAAATGGGAGTGTGCAGAAGTTTAGCAAGGATATTTTCTAGAGCTTTAATATGACCTTGCCATAGATGTTTTATGTGAAAAAGCTGTTCAGTGTTTCTAGTGAAGACAGAATTTGGGTGGTGGGTGGGGGAGTGCTGGAGGAAGACAAATGGTAAATTTGATTTTGTTTTCCCCTCCAAGGTCTGTCAAAGCTGTCTTTTAAGTCATGAAAGGACAGGTGTGCACAGAATGTTATGGAAAGTGCTCCAGAAGGTAGATATCTGGGATATCTGGAACAGAATTGGGCAGTTGAGGCCTCAGGATATTTAGGGCTCTTTAGCCTAACTCCTTAGGGACTGGGGTAGTGTATGTATGAATTAGTACAAGGCCACAAGGGTGGGGTGGATTGTGAGGGTGTGTGTGTTTTATGAATGGACAGATGCTTGGGAATGTTCTGGAAACTTCAGTCAGTTCTTTGAGAAGTATGCATCAAGATTGCCTCCAGGCAATCTTCCTAGTACCATAAGGGAATGGGTGCCTTACAGTTGGGCTTTCTAGGGAAGCAGATCATACCTCCTTCTTAAAGGAGAACTCTTCCCAGTATTTCTAATATTAGACGTGTTCTTGCTTGCCCCCTGAGTTGCTCTCCAGTCTTCGATTTTATTTCATGAGAGCTGTCAGTTTTTCTTCTAAAAGTAGTCTTTGAACACTCTGCTTTCTTTGAGCTGAGTTCAATCTGCCAGGAACTTTGCTAGTTCCTCGACAGGTACAAATATCAAAGGCAAATTGTCCTCCTGGATCTCGCTAGGTCCCCCAGGTATATTTTATCTTTCAGATTTCAGAGTAGTGCCTTTAATGAAAGGCAAGAATGAAGGATGTTTCCAAGAATTTCCAGCAATTCTCTGAGGCTCGTCCCGCCCTGGACCCCAAAAGATGGAGGTTTCCCTTCTCCAAATTAAATGAACTTGCAGTTCTAGAAATGACCTCTGGGTGGAGCTCATACTACTCATAAAGAACACAATGAGCTGACAGCTTTTATGCAGCTTTCTACTTTGGGCCTGTTTTTGAAAAAGAAATTTTTTTTCTTGCCCTTTTTCTCTGCTGTCCTCAATTTGATTGCCTTTTAATAGTCAACAAGAAAGGAGAGACTCTGCCTAATAATTCCTTGAATCTTAGATGGAAATCTCTGACTATCTCAGGGCTTTGTCTTTCTGATATGGAGTAGCCCCTGCATTAAGAAAGGATTTGCCTGCATTTGAAGTGGAGGTGAATAATTCGCCTTTTCTTCCTGGCATGACTTGGCACTGTTCTTTGGGCATGTGTTTTATGCAGTATATCACCCAGGCGGAAGATTTCTCATCAATAATAGTGCCCACATTGGGCCAATGCTGAGTCACTTGGCAACCCATTGGGAAAGCTGAAAAAATGTTCCCATTTGCGAGGGGCCGAAGCTTTTTTTTTTTTTTTTTTCCCTTGCCATGAAGGTCTGGACTGCAGCTAATTAAAGCTCCTCCTAAGAGGTGTCGACCTCAGCATTCTATAGTGACCAACTTCCTGAACTGGGTGGTCCAGATATTCACAGTGGTCTGAGGCCTAACCCCGTGGCTTTTGTGGCAGTGACCCCATCTCAAAATGGAAGTGTGTCCATGTGGCTTTGCTGCGCTCTTTACTGGGGGTGATCATTGTAAAAGATAAATGAGGGTGTCTCTGTTTCTGTGAAGGGTAAATTTGTTATCTCTGTCTCCCTGCCTTTTCCTGCTCATCTCTTAAGAGGTCATGGATGCTTTTGTGTGTTGAAACACATGGTGTAGCTTTCAAGTGCAAATTTGGTATTGTGAAATAAGCACCAGTTTTTGTTCATGATTCTGCATTTCCTGCAAGCATGTACTCTTATTGTAAATAAGTAGCATAGGATGGGAGGCCTGCAATTTTTCTGGTAATCAAAGTCAGTGAATGAGTGTAAGATGATAAAAGAATGATTTGGGGGGTATCTTCTGGAGGATTTACCCTTGCCAGAGCAAAGGAAGAGGCTTTCAAGGTCAATATATAACGATTCCTAAATTGGGAGGGAGAAGGACTCAGTGTAACCTTCAGCCACCCTGGCCAGCTCAGGGTCAGATCGGGAGGAGCAGTTTTCTGAACAAGGCTCATCCCCAGCTGAACTGAATTATATAGCCAAATGCTGAATCCCTTCTGAAATGCTTGTTTGTGCTTTTTGTCACCAGGACCTAAGCTTGTTAGGCTACATCCAGAGAAAAATACCAGGATGGAAGTCACTGGGAGGTAGCATGCTGAGGATGCTGTGAGGGAGTTGCCTTAGCCACAGCAGGTGCAGAGAAGTCAGCTGTATGTTCCCATCTCCACAGGCATGCGACTCCCACACAGACTTTGAATGAAGAGGGAAGTGTTCTCTTGCAGAGGGCAAAACAGGAGTGTAGCTCACCTCTTTGCCTTTGTCTCTAAGCTCTGCCAATCCTAGGCATTGCATTTCCCTCTGGCATGCATTCTGGTACCACCAGTTAGTGCCCTGCCTGCGTCCTCAGCAGAGCCTGACAGGCAGCTCTAGGGAACTTGTTATGATGCAGATCCCTTCGACATACTGCCCTCCCCCCACACTCTAGGGGTGGGGCTAAACCCTTGGGTAATAAAGTTTGGGAACCAGTGACCTTGTCCTTACCACTTCATTGCTCACCTGTCTATCTTGTAGCTGCAGTCTCCTGCTTTTGCCTAAGAGCTTTCTCTTCCCGCCGAGCCTGCTGTGTCACTCACATGGAGGGCCTGGAGTACAGTGTGGGACTGGGGGGCACACCACAACTTCTTCGGCAGCCCTCAACCAACAATTGATGGGCAATGGTGTGTACTGCCCCAGCTTCCTCGTTCTTCTCCTGTGTTCTACAAGGGCTCCCGGGGCTTCCCCAGTGGGCTTGAGCTGCTTGGCAAGATGCCCTTTATTGACTGCCTTCCATTCTGCTCTCACTTCTCCGTGCCCCTCTGGTGTTTCTTTCACCTCCCAAATGAACTGCATGTGCTTGAATCCTTGTCTCAGGGTTTGCTTCTAAGGGGATCCCCACTGAGGACACAGCCCCAAGTTTGTGTGTTCCACACTTCCTTGCCTTGAAGGTGACAATGCATTTCACTGCATCTCAGCAAACTCAATTCTGCAAACATTTCCAGCACAATGATGATGTGCCAGGTGCTGGGCCAGGAGCTGCGGATTCTGAATGGGGGATAGTCATCTGCAGTCACTCCTGTCTGCAGGGCCCTTTATACTCCTAGTGTGGTACAGGAGTGCCATGGATGCAGGGGAGATAGGAGATGGTTTAATATCATGGAGATGCAAAGCAGTCCAGAGAATTTAGGGGAGGAGGTTTCTAAGGAGCCCAAACATGTGCATGGGGCATGCTATTCAGAGAGTGCCCACCCAGTTCCTTCCTCTCTCCCTCTGTTATGTAATCAGATCCTGTCACTGCCCATGTCCTTGCAGCCTATGGGCAAGGCTTCCTCTGGGCTCTTCCTACTTGCTAATTCCAGTAACTCTGCAACCAGCAGTCCTTGTCCCTTGCTAAATCACTTAACTCCCTTACTCCTGCTGCACTGCACATGCTCATTGTAAACTGATTTGTAGAAGAAAAGGAAAGGAAGGACTTTGGTCAAAGTTTCCTTCTCATTCCTATTACACCTGACAGCATATTTGTATAACTACATAAGAATGCAGTTACCCCAGCTAGGTGTGGTGGTGCATGCCTACAATCCCAGCTACTTGGGAGGCTGAAGTGGGAGGATTGTAAGTTCAAAGCCGGCCTGGCAATAGTGAGACCCTGTCTCAAAAAATAAAAAGGGCTGGGGATGTAGCTCAGTCATAGAGAGTCCCAGGTTCAATACC